ACTAATATTACTGCTACTACTTTTCTGCTACTATTACTACTTCTGCAATTACTACTGCTGCTACTACAAAATTGAAAATGCGCTTCTCAATAAACTGAAAAGTTAGTCGTCAAATAAGCCATCCGTGGGTTAAATTTAAACCTTAAATATTAATAAACACCCATATAGCATTTCGGATATTACAACTTAAAAAAAATCATATTTTTCCCTAAAGAAAAAATTCAAATAAATTTTACAAAAATTTCCAACGAAATTAATTTTAAACAAATTATTATAACACGTTCTCAACATGTCTATTTACTTTACCCTCGGTTCGTGTTCGTGACTGGTGTTCGCTCTTCGCCAAACTACCTACCTAAAAAAGTTAACTTAAAACAGCCAGTGTACTCGTCATACTACTGATAGTAATGAGATAAATGCATTTGCATCTGAAGACCACCCGTCACATCTGCCTTCTACATGCGCTATTGGTTGAAGTACATTCTTTTTTAAATTAATAGCCTGCATAGGAACACTAATGCAATGTTAAATCACAATAAACACAATTACTATTCAGTACAATCTGATGTTATACATTAGAAAGAAGAATGAAATATGAAATGTGAATAACAAGCAAATCCAAATAGTGCATTCGTTATTATTCGAATGGCGAGTTCAATTTTGAACATGTATCCGCGAAAATGTTCAGTTTAGCAACTAAAAAATGATAATCTTCTTGTAAGAATGTTTGGAAGTTGAAACTAGTCGTCAATTAAGTTTGTGAACGTTTCAATGGTCCTTCTCTAAACGGAACATGGTGGCAACATTCTAAAAAAACAACAAGCGCATGTGACGTCATTTTAATATATTTCTGTTTTTTGTTGTTCCATTGTTAATATTAATCTCGATTGGATATCAGCAGCCGTGCCCTCTTTCAAACCGTAATAAATAAAATAATAACGGAAAATTTTTATGGCTTCCACGAAAATTCGATTCATTTTCATTTTGGAGTTTTTTTCCAATGTTCTCATTTAGCGTCCTTAAATTTAATATTATTTTGAGTTTTTTTATCTATTTAGTATTTTTTTCTCGCGCTTTGCTATCTTCGCTCATTATCTCGGCACTACTCTACTCCGCGGGCAACTATTTGCATAACAAAAATATTTCGCATTGACATTCTTGCTGGTGTTGTTGTTGTTGGTGACATTTTTGTTGTTGTTGTTGTTGCTGATGATGTTGTTGATGTTGTTTTTGATGTTGTTGTTGTTGATGTTGTTGTTGTCGTTGGCGTTCACGTTAATGCTGTCGTCTTTTTTATTGTTGTTGCAACTTGTAGTAGTTTTTGAAGATAAAAAGTTGATATTGTTGATTTCGTTGTTGTTGTTATTGTTGCTGATGCTACTACGGTAGGTGTAATCGGCTGCTGTGACATTAACTTTGCTCTTGTTGATGTTGTGTGTTTCGGTTGATTATGCCATTGTTAATTTAGCTAACTTGTTGGTGTTGTTGCTGCTGTTTTTGTTGGTGTGGCAGGAGTTGTTGATGGATTTACTGTAATGTAAGCTTGAGTGTCATTGATGTCGTGGTCAATGATGACGCTAATTATATTGTAACCGGATGTGACATTTTTGTTATTGATGTAGATACTGTCCTTATTGATGCTGACCTTGTTAATGTAATTGTTGTTTTTTGTTGATGTTGTTTGTTGCAAAGCAGCAGTAGTAACGAAAAAAAAGAAGAAGATAATTCGTTCGCCTCTATAAACTGTACCGGAAGTAGAAAGAGATGTGCGTGCGTGACGTCGGCGATGGAACATTTGATGGCGGATTGTGATGATGATGATGACAGCGTTGATGATGATAATGATGACGATTTTGATGATTATGATGGTGGTGATAGGATGACGGTGACTGTGATGGTATGATGGCGATTGTAATGATGATAATAATGATGATGATGGTAATGATTGTAATCTTCATCATCTTATTCGTTACAATTCTGTTCATTGTATATCATTATATATCATTGTATTTGATTAAACATCATTGTCTATCATTATATATTGTTGTATACTATGGTATATGATATTATATCATTGTATGCCATTGTATGCCATGCATATAATTATTTATCATTGCATACCATTATATATTATTGTATATCATTATATATCATTGCATATCTTTATATATCATTGTATATCATTATATATCATTGTAATGATCAATCATTCAATCAATCAACCAACCAATCAAATATATTTATGACCAATCGATTAATCTTTTTTTCTAACATTTTAAAAATAATAATAAAAAATTAACCAAAAATAAAAAAGAAATTGAAACCAAAAAAAATAAGCAAGGGTTGAAATAAAATAAGAAAAAGGGTACATGTAGAAGTGAGTTCATGACATTTTAATAAAAATTTCAATCCACCAACCTGAGAAAGAATTGTCATTAAGATATAATTTAACAATTTTCTTCTTCTATGTTTCAAGTCATCCACTCACCCTTTCATTCATTTTCGAATCAATCTGTCTATCATTATTATCTTGTATACATACATTTATAATTTCTTTAAATCATTTTTACACCCGTCAGTCTATCCGTCTCTTCATATATTCATCTATCTCTCCATCTTCATTTCGCTATCTTCATTCACCTCTCTTTTAGTCGATCCATCTATCAATTCGTCCGTCTGTCTTTCCATCCACTCATTCATTCATTCATTCATTATTCTTTATTCATTCATCCGTAATAATAAATCAATCAAACCATGCGAGCATGTAAGTAGATTACATATGCGTGCAGACTAGTTGTACACGCATTTTTATGTACGTACGTGAGTGTTTTTGTATGCGTTTGTGTGGTGCATGTGTGTGTATGCATATTCGTGTGTGTACGTACGTATACATATGGCCAAGTACACGCGCGTTGTACAATGCTGTTGTACATTGTACAGTGCCCACGTTCCAGTCTCATTATTATCATCATATCAACTTTATTGTGAGCTTTTACGACGCTGTAAATATTTATATAACAATGTCATCATTATTGTCGTGATTATCTTTTATTATTGTCATTTTTCATTTTCTTCTTATTATTATTATTACTATTATTGCTGTTATTATTATTATTGTTGTTGTTGTTGTTGTTGTTGTTGTAGTTGTTGTTGTTATTGTGTGATCGTGTTAACGTCGAAGAGAGTGTTTAAAAAATCCATAAACACCTTGATGCCGTCTGTCTCTGACAGATTCATAATGAAATAACATCCAAACATACAAACAAAAACAACAACAACGACAACAACAATAATAATCATAACAACAATAACAATGATAATATTAATAATGATATGGGAACATTCTTTTATTTACCGAAAAACAAAATCCAAATGGAATCCATCGAAAATTATTAATTATATATTAGAGTGTAAATAGATAAAATATAAAATATAATGTACGATCCTCTCATGCCCTTTGATCAACAAGTACTTGAGAGTAAAAAAGATATATTTTAAATCGGTTCGTGTAAAATCGGTAATATTGATGATAATAATAATATACATGTCTAGATGTGCCGTTGCGGCTGCGGCTGCGGTCGCGAGTGGTTGCGGTTTCCATGAAGTTCGGCAACGCAGGTCTCTAGACTAAACTGCTAAATAAATAACCCATGATGTTGATGACAATGTTTGAAAAATTATAGAATAAACTTCATAACATATATTAATATATTGTATTGTGTTGTGTTGTGTTGTAGTTTATTGTATTGTGTTGTATTGTATTGCATTGTATTGCATTGTATTGTATTGTATTGTGTTGCATTGCATTGTATTGTCATGTATTGTATTGTGTTGTGTTGCATTGTATTGTATTGCATTGTGTAGTATTGTTTTGTTGTATTGTATTGTATTGTATTGCATTATATGGCAAACAAAAAACTGTTAAAAAATTAATAGCTTCCATTAATTAATTACCTAATTAATTAATTACCTTATTAACGAGCTGTTAACAAAAGCAATTATTTTGAAACTAGGGTATAATTAATTATGTTATATAATTTTAATTAATAATTTTATTATTATATTTTATTACATTTTTATTTTCAATCTAAAGATTGTTTAAAATCAGTCATAGGAGTTAATCATGACCTCCTATCATTAGTACAATAACTATATTATATTATTATAATGTATTTATTTATTATTATATATTGTCATATTATATGAAATTATTATAATATTTTATTATATTATATTGGTAATATTCAGCTATGAGAGTAGGTATTAGCGGTTGAATTCTCATGAGAAATAGTTCAATACATAGAGACTGAGCTAATTATTTTTACACTGAAAAGAAGTGAAAAAATTGTAAAAGTAATCCTTCATTTTTTAGACTTTTCAGACATTTTTTCAAATTAATTTTGTTTTACTTTTAGTTTTATTAATTTTTGACGTGACGAGGGTATAGAAATGTTTTTATCAATATGTTTAAACAACGAAGACAATTTTTTCCAACAAACTCGTGAAGATAGAAATATGACGTTATATTAAAATTATCTTTATGTATCTATCGCATTAGTACTACACCAGCCAGACGCCAGTGAAAGAAAAGTCAATGACTGACCAGTGCAAGAATAGAATGGGTATATGTGATGTGTGTGTGTGCGTGTGTGTGTGTGTGTGTGTGCGACTTGCTTGTATCACAGACGCATGATGATGATGGTGTGAAAGCGACGAAAGAGTACCATGCTTTCCATTACTTTTTTCACATGATAACTCGTTAAATATTTAAGAAATAGCCTGTCGTTTGCGAACCACTGCTTTCTCTCTATCTCTCCATACCTCTCTTCACAGAAATTAAAATCTCAGTATGAATTTTTTCTCATCTGTTTTGTATCTTTCAAAAAATTTCATTCCAACTTCAATCGATCAACTATGAAAGTTTGATAATTTTGTGTAAACTTTGAAATGAGAAGAAAATGATCACACAAGTTGAGGAAGGTCATTTTGTGAAATCAACCATTATTAATCAATTACGATGATCAGAAACAAAATTAATACAACTGATAATGAAAACAACATACAAACTAAACAATCTTGCCGGTTGAAAGGCATGAATGATGTTGAATATGATAAAGTTGTGTGAATGATGTAAGTATAGATGACTACAAAGTTGACAAAAGATGATGACACAAAAAGGATAAATCTTATCGAGATGGCGAAACAAGGCGAATTGCAAAAACTTAAGATGCATGTGATGTAAGTTATATGTATGTGATAATAATAATGTCGATGATGATGGTGCGCATGGTGAATCTTAAGAAAATGATAACGATGATGAAGAGAAGAGTGATACGATGAAAATAATGAGGTACATGAAGACCAACTTAACGTAGCAGTTGAGCGTACAAACAGGCAAATCAGACGAAAGATTGATGGATGTGCTTCATCGCTGCAGCTCCACTCAGTTTGATCGTCACGTACTTCTACAAAATTGCACATTCCTCACATTTTGTCGTCTCGACCAAATGTTTTTGATTTCAGGTTGTCCCGTAAAATTGTCTCGAAATGATTTGTCAAAATTTAAGTGCTTGCGCTGGTATGGATGTAGTAAAAATGTCGACCTCTATGAGGTTTTTCATTATTCAAAATTTTAACAAAATGAAATTCACATATGTTTAAAGTAGAGATCTGTAATGTTTTGTAATTTTATTTTTTAAATTAATTCTAAATTAATTTTAAATTAATTATTTTTTTTAGTTTTTGAATTATTTGTGAAGCGTCAAAATATTTAGAATAAAATCTCTGAGTTGCTTAATTTTAGCGCCAGCTTTGTCAATTTACTTGTAAAAGTTGGTTTATAAAACTTGGCAACCTTCCAACAATCTCTTAATGAAATCCAGTACTATTACGCAAAATTATGAATTAGATGTTAGGTTTAGATTTTCGTTTTTTGGGAAGGCAAAGTTTTTTCTATATTAAGGTTACATTATCTATATTGTGGTAACCATTTCATCATACAAATTTTATCTTTAATAATATTTTTACACGAAGCATAACAGTAGCATATCGATAATGTGAATGTATTATCAAGCGGATGATGATGATGAAACAGTGATGATGTTGTTGATGATGATGATGATGATAATAAAACATTGATGATGACGACGACGACGATGATGTAATGGTGATTGCACTGGTAACAAAATGAAAACAACCAACAAAAAAGTAAAAGTATGGGTGACCACGCAGTAGCTAACTTTCATGTTTATAATACGAAGGGAAATTATGAATATGCCAATGGATAATTATTTTGAAAAGAATTTGAAACGAGCGATGCGTTTTTGAATAATAGATAGTTGCGATGAAAGATGATGAAGACGACGACGAAGACGATGATGATTCTGAAGATGATGATAAGGATGATGATAAGGATGATGATGATGATAAGGATAATGATGATGATGATAAATTGCGACGATGATTATAGTGGTTATGATAAGAAAGAATATTAATTCGGATTGGTTATATTGATGATGAGTTTTCACTGTAATCCAGAAAGACTAATGACTGCATTGTGAAGGCTAAATGTATTTGATGCTTTATAAATAATATGTCTATTTTGTTGATATGTGTATCAGTGTGTTTGTATGTTTGTGTGATTGTATGTTTTTGTTATTGTATGTTAGTGTGATTGTATGTTTGTTTGTTTGTTTGTTTGCTAATAGAATGTTTGATCATATGGTTGTTTGTCTATTTGAATCATTTAATGAATGTTTAATCAACAGCTTTTTAATGTGCTTTTTTCTGCAGACTTTAATGTATTTTCGGTTAATTTTATTTTATTCAGTTTGTTTAATAAAAATTAAAATTTTTAAAAATGATGTTTAATATGTAAATGCGAAGTCAATTTTTGAGTTTTTTTTTAATCTAGAAAACACTTGACATGTGGTCCTTTTATGATGAAACTTCACAAAAATCAGTCGTTATACCCAACGACCAGAAAAAATTATTCGATAAAACTTGTCAAAAATGTTTTAAACACAAAATTGTACAAACTTGCTTAGCAGATTATCATTTTTAGAGATAAAAAACCATGAAAACGTTATGAAACTTTATATATTTACCAATTAACCTTCCATTCATTAGTCTAAGAACACACTTTTCCACTTGACCAGCATGATGGCAATCATATTCCAACAATTAAACACATACTTACCTCACGCTAAATACTTATCTATTCATACCTTTACTCACTCAATTAAAAATAATAGCTTTACTCCACTTGGCAAATTCTTTCCACGAACAGCCAGCAAATTCTGTCACCAACCATTTCAAAATGTTGTTGACATGGAATGATTGGGACGCTGCTTGCTTGCTGCGGCTTGTTTCAAAGCAGTTTTTTGCAATCATTTGTATGCATTAGTTTGCACAATTTTGCGGCTATTAAGTTTGCATATTTGCGCATTGTGTGTTTTTTCTGTTCGTTTTTCGATTTTTGTTTTGGTTTTTTTTATTGTT